CTGCTGAGGCAGCGCACGCCTTGCTCACGCCGGTATCGGCCGCCGAAACAAGCCGGTTCCCCTCTTCACCCGCTCTCCCCGCGCCACCTCCCAGAGGTCACGTCCAAGGTCTGCCCATAACTCCGCAGGGGTTAGTTTGGAAACAACCTGTTTTCTCCAACACCTCCTTTACTTAATTGTTTTTTCCCCACTGGAAGTCACGTCCGCCTGCATTTTGTTTTCTCCTCTCTGTTTCTTTGGTATTGCTGAACGCCGGGCCCTCGGGGGCGGCTGCGCACCGATCCCGAATGATGGTTTATCGGTAGCTGGAATGGGCGTGAAGTGCTGATCCATCGGAGGTAAAATTAGATACAAGCCAGATAGCAGGGACCTTGCCTGTCTAACCAACCCATACCCAGCGAAAGCTGAAGTCAACAGAAACAAAATGACAAATTCCAGTGTTTTTCCTGTATCCACTGAATGACCAGAAATTCACTTTTTGTTCATTGTAGTCACGGCTTCTCAACTACGCCCTTTCTCCACCACTTTTCTGTCACCTGGAGAGGCGCTTTGGTGCACTGAACTGCAGGTTTCCCTTCTCCACAGAAGACGAGGAGGTCCTTTTCCCAGTGACAGCCAAACCCTACAAGACTGTCGGTCACTCCAAGCAGAGTTCAGGCCCTTGTATTTGTCACCAGCTATTTTTACTCTTGTAATCCACGCCGGCAAGTATTGTGGTTGTGGTCGGTTCTTTCCCTCTACCCCCAAATCCTTCCAAGTGAAATAAAGCTCTCCACCCAAAAATATGCTTTGAACTTCCAACTACCCTATGGATAAATGCCATTAGTATTTGTGAGCAGCTGAGGGGGCGCATACTCAGCAAAGGGCTCATGTAATTCTGGTCTGTCTGCCAAAGGATTTCTAGGACTGGAAGTCTTTTGGAGCAGTCAGGGTGTTCCTGAGGATAGTGCCAGCATGCTTTAGGAGCAACCACTCTAGGCATCCGTCAAACTCAACCACTTTTACACTCGTGGAAAGAGCTGACTGCCACTTCAAGTTTTGGTGAGGGGAGGGGAAAAAACCCACACCTTTTTTTTCTTCCTAAGCACCTGGTTCCCTGAGGCACTACTGTGCGCTACATAGTTTCATATTTCTTCAACAGAAACATGGGGTCCTGCTCAGCCTGCTGTACCTTATCACAGATTCATCCTGTATACTGTATAGCTTTACATGCCTGATGAGTAGTTTTGCACCCAAAGGTGGGCTCCATTTCCGTGCAGAAGGGGAGTACCCTCCACAGAAAACAAATTCTTTCTCCCCTCTTTCCCCAGCCGTCGCCTCCTTCCGCTAATGCCCCTCCAAGTCTGTCTGTGCCCCATCCCTGGGTGCTTGTTGCAGGCCCTTTTACAACATCCAGCCAGTTCATCACTCCTCGGCATCACCCGAAAAGTGCTACTGTGCCCCTCCAGGCTCCAAGTCAGTGTTTGCAGCCTCATTCTCCTCACCTAATGGATCCTAATTCTCCTGTCCTGCTCCCTCCTCCTAGCTGTATTCCCTACCTCTGCCAGGCACCAGTCTCTCCCTCCCAGCTCTTTCAGTCTCTGCTGAAGACAGTCCCAGTTTGTTGCCCAGCCAGCCCAGGTCACCTATCCACTTGTTTCCTGTCCCAGTCTCCCTAAACTCTTATTTTCTTTACAGCTTTCAAACTCTGCTATTCTGCTTTTCCTCCTTGCTCCTACCTTTCCTGTACTTTTCGTGCCATCGCTACTCCATCTGCATCTGATGCAGAGAACTCCCCGTACGATGCAGCCTGTGATTTAAGAACTGAAAACAGGGCTTTTTGGCTGAGTTTTCTGCCAGACCGCTGAAATGGCTCCGCATGGGGCCAGATGAGCGCAGTCAGCGCTGCCGAGGCCATGCCACCCGCAGCCAGGGTGACTGTGGCACGAAGGGCAAAGCCAAAGCAGCCAGCGCACTGACTGGTTCTGGTCTAGGACTGGCTTAGGCTGCTTTGGCATTACAGCTGAGGATGTCGAGTCTCAGAGCCATGGCTGAGCCTGAGCTAAGGGGCACAGGAATGGCGAGGCTTGGCCACGCAGCAAATTGCACTCTGGCAGCCGCCGCCAAACAAACCCGCTGGTTGTTTGAAGGGCTGAGGAAAGAGCAGGGAGTGCACAGGAATGCAGACATCTGAAAGTGAGACAAACTTAGCTCTGACAGGGTTGACTTGTTCATGGGACCACAGTCTTAATCATTTGAAATTAACCTTTAGGATATGCTTAAAATCCTCTTCGTCTGCCATGAGGACTTGTGAAGCATGCATCAGTAAGATATCCAATAATTGTAAAAAATTATGTGTTACAGGGTTTATGCCAGCTTGACAGTTCCAACTCGCATGTTTGAAAACTGATAATATGTATCATAATTAGTGCTAACATCAGTTAACATGATAATGGGTATGTTATTTTGGTATTTTCCACCTCACAACCCCAGATAATTTGTGCTCTCCATGTACAACACGATTTTCTGTCATTAGTATTGTGTATCTATTTGTGCTAGGTCCCAATTTTCCACCTGTGTATAACTGATCTTTCTGAACTACAGTATTTGAGAGTGTATAAACGTGTTAGACTTTAACAAATGCTGCCTCTATAAAATACAACATGTTCAGCAG